AAAAAAAAAACCAAAAACAAAAAAAAAAACACAAAAAAAAAAAAAAAAACCAGAATAAAAAAGCCCACAATGCAAAAAAAAATGGTGGAAAAACAAAAGAGGGGGGGGGGGGGGAGTTTAGGGAAGACCCAAAATATGGAATGAAAGGCAAATGGAGGGAGAGTTGGGGGGGGGTTGCGAATATTGGGGTGGTGGGGGGGGGGGGGGGGAAGGAGTATTCCAAATTGTGGGCTATAGAAGACTTTGCAGTTATTCTCATTTGTGCTGTTTATCTTTGATGGATACTACATGTATATTAGTAAAAAGGCAGTCAACCCTTGGTTTTCAAACAATATCCAATTTTTTTCCCATTTAGTACAAATTACAGAAACTATTCCATCAGATAAATAATCTATTTGTCGTTGATAGGCTACAAATATAGATAATCTAAGCCATAATGATTCCTTTTCTCTAGATAACACAGCACAAGCTCACAATGCTAATTCCACTGTGTTTGGTAACCAGAATAACAGTGTAGATGACTTTACAGAGATTAGTGATGACGATGATGACAATGAAGAGCCAGAGAATGATGATGGTCCTGACTGGACTCCTGAAAAATTAGATGAAGTCTATCAGGAATTAGGAGACGATAATGTGAATGACAGCCAAACAACAAAGCCTAGGTACTGTACAGGATGTACCATAACTTACTAGTTAATGTAGACATGCGCATGCAAGTGTGGTCCATCTTGTCTTGAATAAAGATCTCATTATTTGTGAAGTAAAAAAGGGAGAAAAAGCCTTTCTACCCCCCTATCCCTTCCTAAAAAAGCACATCCACCACAGCCACACCATTAAATGTGTTGTCCTGGAGATATACATGTATTAGTATTTTAAGAGAGAGTATGATACACTGATTATTTCTTTGTATGACTTTATGTGCATCTTCCATGACTTGACATTGGATGAAAAATGGGAAATATCTGACTCATTTCTAAAATTACTATTATTATTTATCACACAACAGGCTGAACTGCACAGGAAAGAACAAGCGTGAGGAGCCTAAAGGCATTGTTTTTTTATCCAAGCTATTACTACTGTTTCAGTACTGCCATTATTGTCTTACTCCCAACCCAGAAACTGTTTGCACACAAACAGGAACTCTATTGACCATTAAAGCCAAATGCAGCAGTTGTCAAGAGATATTTACCTGGGAAAGCCAGCCATTCCTTACGGGCAAATTTCCAGCAGGCAACCTTCTCCTCAGATTTGCAACTCTTTGTGCTGGAGCATCAATAAAGAAAATGTTGACAGTGTTTCGGCACAAGGGGGTTACCTGTCTACAATGAGCCCACCTACTACTACCATCAGCGGCATCTCCTCATTCCCACTATCATCTCATTCTGGCGTAAATACCAAACAAAACTGCTGGATTCCCTGAAAGGAAAAGAAGTAGTTTTAGCAGGAGATGGGTGCCACGACAGCATGGGCCACTCAGCAAAATATGGCACTTATACTATATTTTGTTGTACTGTTGGCCTTATTATTCATATTGTTTTATTACAGGCAAGTGAAAAAAACCTCATAAAAATCATACAGTCATGTAGTAACACCAAACCCAAAGCAAGGGTAAATTTAATTTCAATAATTATTATAAATATCTATGAACTGAAAAAAAAATCACATTTATAACAAAACACCCGTCGGTCTTGTATTTTCTAGGCTAATCAGGTAGGAAGCAGTTCTGGTATCGAGTTTATGGCCTTCAAGGAAGCCATGACCTATATTCTAGCCACAGGCATGATTGTCAAGTCATTTATCTCTGACCGCCATGCTTCCATTGCTAAGTAGATGAGGGAAGAATGTGGCAAGAAGTGTGCTGAACTTGGCAAGCCAGTTATCAATCATTTTTTTGATCTTTGGCACGTTGGGAAAAGTATGCAAAAACAATAAGTAACCTAATATGTTTTCATCGTATGTAATCATATACATATATCAATATTACCATTACTTCTTTTTATTATAGTTATTGTCGTACCTTGCCCTAGGGCACAGTGCAAACAACCTATGACCTAGCATCTGTAGTGAAATAGTACTCTCATTATCAGAGGAGACAATGTCTCTGCTTCTCTGTGCCTTGATCAGATTTATTGTACATGTATATTGTAGAAAAGCACTTAATGTTGAAATGTTTTGCTATTTTCACAGAAATCCAAAAAGTTCTAACAAAACTGAGCAAGGAAAAAAATTGTGAGATCATTGCCCGCTGGAGGAAGGCCTGTGTTAGACATTTTTACTGGGCAGTGACCTCCACTCAAGAAAGTCTTGGAAAGGTCAAGGTTGCAAAGTTCCAAGCATTCCTCAGTCATGTTATCAACAAACACAAGAACCTTCCTAATAGGCTCTTCATTGCTTGTGCTCACGGTTAAGTCATCACACCAAAATTATGGATGTCTAAAGGTACAAAAGCCTCACTTGCTGCCGCACTCTATGTTGATCTTATTATGTTGACCAAACGTCTTGGATATAGGACTACATAACTATAACATTGCAAAGCTTGGTTGAGCTAATTTTGGTCATGTTCAAGAATTTCAGCCCCATCTGCTCAAATGCAACTAGAAACTGTCAACAATTGAAAAAAATATGAAAAATATGAAATATCACTGTCCTTTTTCTTTTTTACACTAAATAAAAAAAATAATTTACAACTAGTGACCACCTGATTTATAAATTTCATCTGAAAACCACAATATGACAAACATTTCCCCTGTATTACTTTCATTCATACTAGTGTCAGAGGCATATGAAAAGCTGTATACCGCCCTTACGAAAACCAGCCTTACTAAAGGAATAGAAAAAGCTTCCTCAGTTGAGCAAACAAGCTGCCTGGAAGGGTATCATTCAGTAGTCAACCAATTTGCCCCAAAGATGCTGGCCTACTCATACCTGGGAATGCTTTGTAGGTACGTGAAATTTAAGGCTTATGTATTCAAACATAGCAACACTAAAGTTAATCTTGGAAAAGCAAACAAAATTCAAAAAGTATGAGGAAAGGCACTGGGATGCTGCCTTTTTTGATAGATATAGGCAGTTTGCAAAACTGGTAGAACTTGTCGCATAATTTAATACATTCTGATTACTTTGTACCTTTCTCTCTTCCTCTTCTTTTTTTTAAGATCAGTACTGGCTGCCCTTCATTTTAATTACAACCTCAGAAGAGAGACAAAGGTGGATGACCAGGGCCAACCACGCCTTCACATCTCATACCCAAAGTACAAGGAAGGAGAAGCAACAGTCAGGGAAGTCAGGGTAGCTCCTAATTATGGTAAGTCTTTGGTAAGGACCATTGTAGCAAAGTATACGTGTAAGTTTCCAAGTTGGACAACTTTAAAATGATGTCTATTCTCAAAATCAAATATCTACATGTACAGGTGTACATCAACAGGTTTCCTGGTATTATCATGACTGCAGACAGGTTAGCTGCTGTCAGAAAATATTCAGCAATTTAATTTAGCTATGCTAAAAAGCTACTACTTATGATGTCTTGTAATCCACAGTTCCTTTCTAGAGAGAGTAAAATGTAGATTCTAATAATCACAGTTAGTCAAAAAGTGAAATTACTTTAGCTTGTGAAGTCATTATGCAAAGTACTTCCCTGAAGAACTTTTGTAACTGCCTTTCTCCTTAGAGTATGTGGCGGAGATTTATGAATCTCTAATAACAACTCCATGACGGAACCTCCAACTGATAGAAGAAGAGCTAAAACAGGTGGTTCCAGACCCTATGCACTCAATGCTTGAGAAGCAATCCAAAGATGATGCAATACGGAAACACAATGAAAGAAAAAACAAGGAAACAGTGATTTGTCCTCCAACATGTTCAGGTAAAATGTCTTGGCAATGCAATACTCGCTCTAGGTTTTTCATCAACATTTTCATCCAAACACTCAAACATTCTACTGAATTTGAAGCTGGGAAACAGGTTTTCAGAAGCAATATTTTTTATAGTAATCTGAATGAAAAAAAAATTAATTTCTTTCAGTTGTAATTTTACTTGACTTTCACCTGATTATCTACAGAAGCTGAACTGCAAACCTTGTTAGAGGAAAGTGACCAGTCAAGACCAATGTCAAGAACAAATACAAGCAGAAGAAGAGGGAGAACACAGCTATGCAGAAAATGTGGACAGCCAAGAAGAGGACACACAAGCACTGCTTCACAAAACGATTAAATGCTACTGAAGTTACAAAGAAAAACCTGATAATCATTTATTTTTTATTACCCTGTACTGTTCTGAGATAAATGACCTAAATATTCATGGTACACATCATTGTTATTATTTTCATTTTTGGAGAAAAGAGAAGCCAAAATATAACAGGCTCTGTACTGCTCAAATTAATCACTTTGCAAATCACAAGTCTTGAAATGATGGTTCACGTAATGTATGAAAACAAAATATACAGAATAATAATAATGAACACTATCTATGATTCGTCATCTTCAAAGCCATGATACTGGCCATCTTCACTCAGAAAGGCTGTCCTTATTGCTTTGTAAGCACAACATGGCAGTGGATGACGCTTGGAACTTCCCGTAAACTCCCAAAGAAGTCAAGTAAATTGTCTGTACGACACTGATCGAAGAAACCTATAAAAAAATAATGAGAAACATATGTACAGTTTCATATGCTTGACTGGTGGAGTTTTTGGTCACTTGTGGCAGCTTATTTGTTTAGGCTGTTGTTTCATCATGCATGGTTTTTCTTCAATTAAAATACAATAATATGAGTTTTTGGTTGACAATAGAAGTTTTTGAGGATTCTGTATAATAAATAGACTGGGATGCAATAGACTGTAGTAGAAATAATAATGAAATATAACTGTTAAGCGTTTATTTGTTGACAAACGGGGCTTTGAGTATAATTTAACCTTATTATTTTACAAAAATAATAAATAAATTGCTCACTTTCACTTATGAGACACCCAGGTGAACAATAAGAACAACAGAATAAAAAATCATGGAATGATTGACTCACTCTGATTCCGTTTTACGACCTTGACTGAAAATAGCCCGGTAACTTTTTCCAGCTTTGGTCTTCAGGTTAAGTGATGCCACTTCAAGAACCCATCGGTTTAGGCAAACATCCTGAAACCCAGGATGCAAAGTGATACAATCACCTGCCCATTCTATATTTTCCATTACTTCCCCCACACGATCTATTTCCTTGCAACAAATGCATTCTTCCTTCTTGGTGGCTATGTCGACCGAACAGTTTGAACAAGTGCACCTACAAAACAAAAATAACCCGTTCTCCGTTCAGTATTAGAAACACGCAATCGAAATTATGAAAAAAATTCGAATTTATGGGCGAATTCCACCATAACACAAAAGATTTAAAATGAAAAAGAACTGCTTAGAAATACAATCTGAGTCATGTCTACCATGTGCTGACGTCTAATTCGCCAGTAAAGCGCCTTTGAAGCACGAGCTCCCATTCTTCCTCATTAGCCACACTAAGCGTGTATGCGGCAGCCTCTTCCTTGGTCGCGACTGGCTCCAGTTCCTCATCATACGGGACGAAAGCTGTTCCATCGTCGTCTAAAATTTCACTGTTCTCGTCAGAACTTGAACCGGATCGGTCTTCCGAAGAAATGGAAGAAGAAGGCGAGGGAGACAACATCATAACAACTAGCTAGTATAGGTTTTGGTCGGCTTTGCAGCGATATCAGAATATTTTGGGGATAACGTGACGTCACAAAAGCAAAGCCCCTGAACTCAATTCGTCGGCTCGAATAGTTGTTGTTTTTGTAATGGCGGACCAATTTTACGCACTTTCGGACAGCCTTTTTAAGGAACCTTCTTCGTTAGGTTGGTCTGAATCACATTTTTTCTTGAAGTTTTAAGTCTAAACACTAACTTCGAGCCCAAAAATGTTAGTTTAAAGAGATGCGATTTTCGTCGCAGTGGCACTTTAATGTTAAAAAAATAATATAATAAATACAGTAAATTTTCCAATTTAAGCAATTGGAAAGAAGAAGCCTGAAAAAAATCACGGCTTCATTGGGATTTGCTTTTTTTTTTCAGGCTTCTTCTTTCCAATTGCTTAAATTGGAAAATTTACTGCGATGATCATTCTTCACTTTCATCTACAACAGCAGTTCAAAAATGAATTATTTCATATATACTTCACATCATTAACAACACCTCTAACAATTTCAGATGTTGCAGCATCCTACAACCAAGGATAATTTTAATCCCCTAGGAAACTTCCACTTCAATCATAGGATAGATTTAACATAACTTGTTTCATCTCAATTTTAAAATCAAGAACACTATTATTACTCGTACCAATAAATAATAGACTTCAAACTTGCCTAACCATCAATGATCATGATTTGTACCGTATAGTTTTTTATTCATTATTACATGGTTCATCAATGGTGCCATTTCTCACAAGTTAAATTGAAGCCGTACATCCGCATCTAGCAGTGAAGAAAATAAACTAGAATGACTTTAACATACACTGTATCACTTCGGCAACAAAACTAAAAAAGCAGTTCAGCCAATAACTTAGGCCCGGTTCAGACACCAATCTTTTCATGAGCTCAACCTAATAAATTGAATAAATTACATGAAAAGTTCAGCATCTCAATCAATTAGGAACACCTATTTCAATTTGCATCAGCAATTCTTTCACTTAGCCAGGCCGGAAATTTGACTGTGGAACGCCTTTGGAATGGCTTTGATTCAGATGCCGAACTCCTCATGTATCGGACCTAATGCATAAATTATTAACATATTTTGCAAGCAGTTTGGCTCAGAAAGCATGCTTTGTGGAGTGTATTTGTCAACAGAAATGGCGGGCATGGAGAGCAAGTCTCACCAGGGATGATATGCACAACTCCTGTTTTTCAAACACAAAATACACTTAATTAAAATGTACAATTCCGATCTGTAATAAGTGCTCAACATTTGAACTTGACAAAAACAAGAGAGATGGGCCACGGGGCGATCTGTTGGGTACTGCAAGCCCTGTTTTCGGGGAAAAAAAACAACCTGATCAAGAAAAAGTCAAGTACATGTTGATTGTGGATTAATACCCTGATAACTCGAGTTCCCTACTAACTTGATCTGTTTTTCGTTTCCCTTCAGAGTTCATATTACCGGGGTTCAACTGTATCTCAATAAGCCGCAAATAATATGATGTGTAACAAATATTCCAATGTACACAACACCATACAAAGTCCATTTCTTTGAATCTGGATCAACAAATCCCTATTTTTAAATCAAGTGCAATAAATAGTTAATAATATTGCAAAAGCAGTACTATAATAGTTCTAACCCTAGGCTACCCTAGAGAAGCCAGCATCTGGACAGCCAGAATCATTTTGATCCCTCCCCCAACCTCTTTTCTAGAAAATTATGTCAGTGAAGGTAGTGCAGTGACATTTTGAGACCAAAATAAATAAACACAAAGCTTCATATTTTAAAGCCACTGACCTAGCTATTGTCACACTTGTGTCTTTTCCAATACTAAATGATACTAATGAATGAGCCTAAACATTCTTTCAGTGACCATCTTCAGTCACCACAAATACTTGCAGTTTGCCAAAAGTGATGATAACATCATTTTTTGTCATTGGTAATCCAACAAATAATGTTGTTATCATTAATTGTTTCATCTCAGTAACAGGAGTAAAGAACGAGACCCATTTTCAGAGTCAGAAGAGGATGTAGGTGAACACAAAGAAAACTGCTGTAAGTCATCAAACAAGAAGCAGAAAAAACTGGGAAGAAAGCCGAGGTGGTCTCAAGAGCTGCTCAATGACTTTATTGATATCACTGTGAGCACTGATGAGTACAAGACAAAGCTGATATTAAGGAAGTTTAAGTGTCAACAGAATGGGGAAATCTATGGGAGCAATTGTGACGAAATGAAAGAGGACTGCTGGAAGAGAGGAAAATTTCTACTTTACCATTGATCAGATGAGATCCAAGTTCAAAAAGTGTGTTTCAGAGTGTAAAAAAGCTGCTTTTACTTTTAAATCTGGCACTGGGATTAAGGTGACTCGACCCAGTTTTTTTCGGGGGGTACCATCCTACTTTGAAGCTCTCTGGTATCCCCACCTTTACTTTTATCGTAAGTCTGCCACATAGAATGGATAACATGTAGATCAATCTACAATATAACATAAAATTTTTGGCGATCGGAGTAAATGTCACGTGGTTATAATGCCACGCCCCTTTGAGGTCTGAGTAGAAAATCTGCTGTTGCCGGCATTTTTTCGTGAAAATCTCTCGGCTACACATAGTGCGCATTAGTGCCTTGCGCTGAACAGAGTTTCACCAAAATCGCAAAGACCCAATTCGAGAAATTCAGCGGTTTCCAAATTTAGGTCATAATTTATGCGAAAATGATAAGCAAACTTTACACGGATTATATCTAATAAACTATGAGATTCATCTCTTTATTTTGGGCATCGTTATAACAGATGGGTCCTTGCAAGTCAGCAAAACGCTTTAGGGCCTTGTAAATGCGCGCGATTTCGAGCAAAGCAAACATATAGAAATTATAGTTTTCGCTATTTGTTGACGTTTGTCAGCGTTTAAGAGTCCTTCTCACGAAAAAAGCATTTTCTTAAAAATTCGTAGTTTTTTTTCCTTCAAATTTTTTCAGGGCCACAATTGATTAACTAACTACCCGGACTCTGAATTTCATGGTCATTGAAAAACTGTGACATTATCTTCTATAAGCCCAAACTTGAGTAAACATTGAAGATTTTTAGCGTTTTGGCTGAGTTTGTGCTTTGGGAGTTGTCTATTGTTTCTAGTCTGTCATTATACAGCATTCTTGTTCAGCAAGCGTGCAATGACCACGCTTGACTGACTTCCGAATGCTCAACGAGATATGATAATTTAGTATAAGAAAATAGAAGGGATTCCCGTCACCAGTTGGTTTAATTATTGGCTTGCATTAAACCTATGAAAAAATGATATTTTTTTAATAGTAAGTAGATTTAGTGTGTAGCACTTCTTGATTTTTTTGCAAAGGCACAAGATGCACGAGAATTGATTAAAATATTAAAATAAAATATTCATGCACAAAAAGAAAAGGAACAATTGAGTTCACTTTTATTACATTGTCTACTTTGACAAAACAAAACATAAGCTAAAGAGGGCTATTTATGGCTATATATTACGGTAGAAAGACCAAGAAATGTTGACAGTTGTGTTGGTTATACCCAGAAATTTGAAACTGGGCATTCTGCTGGCATGTACTCTTTTAGGAGCAGTTTCTAGTAATTTCTTTAAAATGTTGGCATTTACAGGACACCCAACAACCTTTTAACCAAAATACCACCTCAGCTACATACTCTACCAAAGAACTATTCAATTAAATTAACATGATCAATTTTTATGAAAGGGAAGACGTCACAACTACAATGTCTGAATGGGCCTCACTGGGCCCCATTAGGACATTTGCCCAGTAAACCTGCCTTTGTGCAGTTAAGTGTCGTGAGTTGAGTGTCTTGGCCTACAAGTGAGACTGATGTTGATTTTATACATTACTTCCATACTACTTTTTCTTACATCTATTTTGAGCTTTAAATGTAAACAACAACAAGGATGAAATTTATGTCAATAACTTTCACAAGTTTGGAAATTAAACATTCACGTTAATGTTAAGTTAAATGGATGCCCTTGTTAGTCACGTCACCTTGTTAACTAGCCTCCCATACAGGCGTTTTCAGGGGAGCTTGTATTTTGTCCCTCCCCAGAAACGCCTGCTCAACCAAGAATACATTCCTTTCTCAAGCTAACCCAATCACAATGTACTTTCCAAATTCTAGAAAGTTGACCTTGACCACAGCTCACCCGATAATTACCCAATCACAAGGAGAGCTATGTGACCTCTAATAAATGTCACACTCAGAGTGGGAAAAGGAAGATTTAGTCAGATTTGAGAATACTCTGTGCACTTCATACATGTAAATTCAGCAAAGGAAAGAAAAGAAGAAAAAAAGCAACTCTGCGGTCAGGTTTTTATACTATCACAAGGGTATAAGTAGTGGTTTGCTTGACAACACTTTAATTCACAACTGTTGATTGGTCACTTACCACGTGAATAAAACTTCTACGCAGGCTATGAGAAAGGAATGTTGTTCTCGCTTTAGCAGGCGTTTGTGAAGACGAAATATGAGCTCCCGAAAAACGTGTTAAGGCTACTCCTTAACACTAGCTTCGCCTTGTCCAATGTGGGATTTAAAACACCTGTTTAAAATGTAATTCAAAATCAGCCTAAAAAAAACAGTTTCTTTATTGTTTGAGAGTAGCTGGGCCTCCCTCTCTGGATTTAACAGAATAGACCTGTCTGTTTCTCCAGAAAGAGTTTTGCTGCAAGGCCATCGCGTATGACAATAGCTTGGTGGACGGAATCTAATCTGCTCACAGGATGTCATCTGGAGTAGTTCAAAGATCTGCTGCCTATCTCGCTTTTAATTTTTCAATTCAACTTTTCTGACGTGTCCCCTCTATCAATGCATACTTGTGTAAAACCATGCATGCAAGGGTTTCCACTCTGACTTCTTTGCTGCCCTCACATTTTCCTAAGAGAATTTGCCACCTCCCTCTGAGTTGTCTATAACACTCTTCAGTAACCATTCTAGCCCCACTGAGGCAATAGTTAAAGTATCTTTGCTCTGGTGTGAGAACAGCATTGTCGTATGGCTTCATTAGCCATGGTTGGAAGGGGAATGCTCCAACACCAACCACTAAGGGGGGCACAAGTACTCCCATTAGGTTTGCTGCTATTTTAGGAATAAAGGTTCCTTCTTTAATGTCAGATCAAAGTTGTGTGGATTGAAATATAATAGCATCTATGAGTTGCCTGGAAACCCACAGGTACCCCAAATGAAGCGACATTTCGAGTCTACCAATGCAATACAACATTTGTTTTAAATTCTTCTGGTGTTTTAGGTAAATGCTTATTTGCGTCCTGCTTGTCTGAGGTTCCAATCATCCTGCATTGTATCAACAAAGTTAAAAAGGAGATTCGGTGAACATAAACTAAAGTCCACCATGTCAAATGTGAGCTCCTCTTTGTCCTCGCAACAAAATTTGAGAAACTTTAAGCACTTGCTATTGATCGGTTGTGCTTCTCAATAACTTCTACAGCCCCCACCACTCCCAGTCAGCCACAAAAAAAAAGGTCTTGGCAATGTTGTTTGTAGGATCAAAAGAGGCAATTGCCTTGCTCTTATGCGGTGTAATCTTTTGATCACTGGCTTCACATTTGTTGGTTTCATTGACTAAGCATACTGATTTGAGCACTGTCTGGCTTCTTGTCGAAGTGATAGTACCAACTTTGTTTGTTCATAACGAGTTTTCTACAGCCTCTTTGCATACTGAATCCATCGTGGTTACAAATTTGCACTGGGCAGTGAAAAAAGACCATCACTGTCATCCTCTTCTAAGCAGAGTATCTTTGGTTTAGGCGATGCATTTACTATTTTTGACCAGTTGACATCCTTACCTCTTCTGTTCATCTTAAGCATTAGGTGGAAATCGATATCTTCCTGAAGAATGCAAGCACTTATACCAGCCAAAGGTTCCCCAAGAGATCATCCTATTCACCTATTCACTCATCTCTGCCCGAACTCGGTCATTCTTGCCCCCTGTCCCATTGCTTCCTTGTCTGTATTTGGTACATAATTAATCAAAAGGAACCAAGACACAAGCCTGAACTTGCATAAGCCAGCCCAAACGACATTAAGCATGTAGCGGGTAAGTCTAGTGCTTAACCTGATTGTCCAGGGGTATACGTTTTGATAAATATGTATAGAGGAGGTGATGGACAACAGTTTGAGATGGCCTACGATAAATAAGAACTATTGTCCTATACTCCTTTTTACACTTTGCTCAAAATGGAATGCTACTTCCTTTGTCACAAATTCGGAACCTGTTCCCATTTATATGCAGAACGTAACACTCCTCCTGAGGAACAAAAAACCACGTCAATTGGGAACAATTCCGTTCCTGTTGGGCATGAATAGGAACAATTTGAACTGCAAGGGAACAAGACCCTCTGAACAGCAGTGGATATGCCAGTAAATAGGAAAAATTTGTTCCTTACTGTGTCGAGTGAGAAATTAGATTGGGAACATTTGTTCCCCTATCACTTCGAAAGGAACAAGTAGGGAAATTGGAACTGTTGAAAGAGGACCATTGTTTCTTAAACGATAAAAAAAAGGAACCAGTTTTTCCTTGTGACTAAAATGAAAACAAACTTTGTATTATTATTGTTGTTGTTAGTACTTTTCTATTTTGATTTCTTTTTTCCGTAAGTCCACCTCTTCTCAGGAAGGTCCGCAGCAAAGTCTCATTTAGTATTCAGTTATCCGTTAATTCCCTTCTCGACACAATCTTTGAAGAGGGTAAAACTGGCAGTTCGCGTGGATTTCAGTAGCTGGAATTCATCGCAAAGAGGGTTTTTCAGTAAGAGTATTTTGCAGATTTAACAGATTTCAGGGAATCAGGATCAAGTTGCTAATTTAGGTCAATAGTCTTCAGTAATAGTTGTCAATTATCACAGTTTTGGATTATGTAATAACTGTGACTAAAGTTGGACAATGGATAAGGGTGTCAGAATTTGTCTACTGGGAAAATTTCATTGATATAATTATTTACAGTGAAGTCACATGCTTACTTCGATAAAAGCACATCACTTTGTTGATGTGACATCAGTCTGCCCTACGATGGGGAAGCAAAGAGCAAATTTTCCTTATCACCAACTGAACAGTGAGAAAATTAAAAAATATTAAAGGAGCTGCTTTGTGCTATTTAAGTCTGATAGTTGTGGACAAATGTATTGTCGTGAGTTGTACGTGTACAGGCAATATTGATGAAGGCCTACAGAAGGATGGAACGAAGTGTGCAGGACGTGGGACGCCTGCAACAATGCATTGCAAGGTTTGTATTCAAAATGACTTGAAATGTCAATTATGAATCCCTGTGATAAATCCATTGGTCGAATAAAGAAACCTGATTTTGATATCATCTTTTGCAGGAGTAAAAAGTGTGGCCTCTTTCTTTAGTGCTATCGGCACACAAGGGCCAAAGAAAGCGCTGAAGAAAAATAAAACAACCCTGAAGATAAGGGAGACGAAAGTGATAGCAAGTATTTAACAAGTCAAATGTTAAGTTCTTCAAGCTAAAGCTGGATTTCTAACCACCCAGCCTTGGTGAACAAAAAGCATCTTCCTGCAATAAATTATTGGATTGCGCTGAGTATACCTAATGGAGACCCAGCAAATCCTATCACCATTCACCGCGACTTACTTGAAAAGTGGCATTCACGCAGTCGCAAAGACGGTACGTTTTCTCTTTGTGCCTTGTAAATCATTTTCACAAACGTACGGATCTTTTAAAACAAGAACTTTATTTTATTTCAAATCAGTGTTTTGATATCACTTGTGGTAGTGTTTTGTCATACAAACATTCACGGTAAAACAACATTTTATTAAGCGTTTTTTAAGAGTTTCTGTTTTTTCTCACAAGTTGGTGATTACAACAGTTTACCGGGAATTTTTACAGGGAACACTTCTAGGATTGTTTACTTGTAGAATTTTCTTTCAGTATAATTGTATCCCTGACGGATGCAATAGATGTCTACCCCCACCCTAGTCTAAACTGTTACCAGTAGTCTGCGGAATAGTTAACATACTGTCTTTTACGGTTAGTTTTTGGAGTGTATATCAAGCTACATATTTCACAGGATTCTGAATGAAATTATTTTCTCGTGCTTGGCTCCTCATCATGTCATAGTCATTTCTTATAGCAAAATCAAGCTTTATATGGCCTAGCCTTATTTGGTTTATAGTTATTTTTTATTTTCCTCCAAATCTATTATAAATTGGCAACCACTTGCTCAGTTTATCCAGTTGGTTCAGTTGGTTTACCTATGGAGAGCAAGTCCTCAAGTCCAGTATATATTTTCAAGTCTCCCACAGATGTGTATTTATCAATAACATTTGGTATGTTACATTATTTCCTATTTCTTTATTATTTTATGCCTTTTAGTTTGGTTTAGTTGCTTTCTATTTCCTTAGTTTGTAGCAATTTTGTTCTTATAATTTAGCCGCATTTTCAATAGCTTTCTGTTTAGAGTGTTTATCTCATTTGACCTTTAGTCTCGCACAACAAATAATTTGCCTGTTAAACATTCTGCTATTGTTCTCACCAATAGTTACTGTATCATTGCTTACCTTTGTTTCTAATCATTTTCTGTAACTGTTCCCTTGTATTCAATCCATTTTTGTTCCAATTATCTTTTTGTCATTGCTATTTTCGTAATTTAGTTTCATTGTTCCAGTTAGTATTAGCTTAGTAATGCTCTATTGTTATGCAAGACACGTAATCCGAATCCCTGGTTTTTGTCTATTTTGCACTTCATGTAATGTTCTCAGATTATACTCAGCTTTTGGTTTGTTAACATTTTTAAGTCACTTTTATAGTTTCTTAAGTAATCTTAATTGCACTTTTTTACATGCAATTTATTAGAGAGCATTACGTAATCAGCTATCTAGTCTTATTCTTGTTTCTAATATTTAGCTTATAAATACTTTTTAGCTTATTGTAGTTTTTACTCTATTTTTGTATTTTAGTTTCTCATTCCCGTTTTTGTTTGATCAATAAATTCATAAAACTTAAGCTCAAATCTGTTGTTCTTGTGTCGACCGTTTGGCCGTCTTACATTTTGGTGTCAGAAGTGGGATTTGAGCAAATCTTAAGTAGACAAAAACGGGAACGAGCTAACAAATAGGATGACAGAAGCCCAGATAAACGAGCTTACTGACATGTTGGCAGCATTAGAGCAGCAGCTTCAGAACCAGAATGGTCCTAGCGCATCTGCCTCTGATTCGAGTTCCGCAAACCCTGGCCAGATCACAGTGAAAGTGCACAGAGAGCGCAAACTTAGGAAGTTTGCTGGCAGCCGTGACGATAGCATGCTGGAAGAGTGGATTGGGGACACCACCCAGGCCATCGCTGGACAAACAGATGCTGATGGCATGGACTTTTTGCTCGAACAACCTGGACAGTGTAGCCAAGGAAGAGGTCCGCCTACACCCAGCTGAGAAGAGAGCCATCCCTGCCGCAGTCTTCAAGGTCCTGTGAGACTGTTTCAGTGAAGGACTCACTAGCACCCAAGCCCCAGGGAAGTTCTTTAAAAAAAGACAGAGGGATCATGAATCAGTTTGTGAGTTCTCCCATGCCTTCATGCTACGTCTAGCATGGGTGGAGCACCTGGATGCAGCAGTGGTCACGGACAAGGACAAGCTCCTAAGAGACCAGTTTCTGGAGAACTTGGCAGATCCCCAGCTCCGAAGAGATATCAAGTGCTGGATTGACACCACCCCACCAAAACCTTCCGAGAGATCAGAGATGAAGTTCAGTGCTGGATTGACGAGGACGGAACCCCCCAAGAAAGGCTGTTGTGCGTGAGACCACAAAAGGAAACCCCCCTCACAAAGTTACCTGTGATGAGGTGAAGGGAGCTGCTGACCTGCCAAAAGTGATAAGTGAGCTGGTAGTGGGACAGAAGATCCTGGCAAAGCAGATTCAATGTCAGCAGGCCGCTCTCCATGGGTAGTCAACAATGGTGACAGCCTGGATGTTTTGGTTCTGGGTCATGGACCCATCTCTGCAGAGGCTGCCCTAGTAATACCAGACAAAACCAACAGAGTGGCGGCAGCAGGAACAGACGATCTGACAACAAGCAGCTGCCGGCGTTAAATGAGAAAGCTCCACAACAGTGAGCCATGCCGTGGAGGGGAACAGTGGCTCAAAACGTCTACCTAATGATGACTGCATGCCTATACATATGGTTGGTGGTACCCCAACAATTCAAGCAAGACTTAGCGATGTTGACGTGCTGTGTGTGGTAGATTCAGGCTCCATGGTATCAAGATTTCTATAAGAAGAAACTCCAGCCAACCTGTGGGCACACATGAGGAAAGAAGGGCAGATGCTAACCCTTCGTTATCCAAATGGGCTCGACATTCCATACCTAGGCTACCTGGAACTGACCGTAGAGGTTGATGGGGTGAAAGTACCCAGATGTGGAGTACTGGTCCTAAAAAACACCCCAGCCACTACCAAGCAGAGAAGAGACATACCTGGACTCCTTGTGACAAATGTTTTGGTGCAGATTCCACAGTTTGGTGCCCTGCTCCAGCAACGGCCTGATGCCGAAGCAAGGACCTCAGAAAACCCTTCCTAAGGTGTCGTTGGTCCCAGTGCTCTAGTCGAGCCCCTCAGTGTGCCAGTACCAGGAAACCTCCAGCAGGCAAATACCTTAGTTGATGCCTCTAAGATGTGTTTCATGATACAAGTAGCAAACCCTTCCCAAAAGGATGTATGGCTTAAGCCGTGAACTTGCCTCGGAACGGTACATGGTACAGTTACAGTGACCAGTGGAGAGAAGCTACAGTCTGATGTACAGAGTAATGAAGTAATAGTATCTTATGCCCTGAGTGCGGAGCAGTAGAAGCCTACCCCCCCCCCCCCCCCCCCCGAAGAACCCCCCCCCCCCCCCCCCTTGGCAAAAAACCACCCACCCCAAAAAAAACCACCCAATTTTCCCCCAAACCCCCCAAAAAAAAAAAAAAAAAAAAAAAAAATCACCCCATTATTGCAACATATCTCCCCCAAAAAAAAAAACCCACGGAAACCCAAAAAAATACACGAACACAGCTCCAACCAATCAATTGCTGGGGGTCCGGCGGTTTGCCTTCCGGTTCTAAGCGGTAAATTGGCCCGGGACCGGACATGGGAAAGTTAAAGGGGCCAGGGGGGGAAAAGTACAGTTTTATTTAAAGGGGAAAGAAGTAATATTATCTTATGCCCCGGGTGGGGAGGAGGAAAAACCCCCCCCCCCCCCCCCCCCAGGGAATGACACCCCTGTACATCCCCTTAGAGCAGAAGACCTACCTGCAGAAATCAGCCTAGACGATTTCCCAGGAACCCCAGCAGAAAAGCAAGAAGCATTAAGAATCTTCACCAGTTATGCAGACGTATTCTCCAGAGAAGAAAACAGCCTTGGCAGAACGACTATGATCCAGCATCAGATTCCAAACTGTGAAAACATACCAGTTAACCAGCACCACAGACGCATTCACCCGAATTAGCTAGCTGAGGTCAAACAGCATTTACAAGATCTGCTGGATAAATGTGTAAACAGACCCAGTCAAAATAACTATGCTTCCCCCATTGTCCTAGTCCAGAAGAAGAACAGTGCCCTGTGCATGTGCGTGGACTACCGCCAGTTTAATGCCAAGGTGAAGCATGACGCTTACTCATTACCAAGGATAGATGAGACCCTTGATATCTTGGGAGGTGCTAAGTACTTTTCTATCATTGATTTGGCTTCTGCCTAAAATCAAGTAGAATTTGCCCCTGCTGACAGATATAAGACAGCTTGCACCACCCCCTTTAGATTGTTCGAATACAACAGGATGCCATTCAGATTGGGAGGAGCACCTGCAACGTTCCAAAAGGTTATGCAGACCATTTTCCGAGATGAATTGTTGGAGATACTGATTGTCTACCTTGATCACATCACTGCCTTTGGCCAAGACATCGGAACCCACCCACAGCGCCTGGAGATGCTGTTCTGAAAACTGCAAGGGCATGGTCTGAAGATTGAGGAAGTACTCTGGAAGTACTAGCTATGGATTTCACCCAGCCTGAGGCAGCTTCATATGGCAGAGAGAATGTGTTAGCAGTCACCGATGTGTTTAACAAATTTACAGTCGAAGTGCCAACAAAAGATCAGTGGGCCAGCACTGTGGTCAAAATCCCTGGTACATGACTGGTTCCTTGTGTATTCTTCTAGACTCGGCTCTCTCCCAAACTCCTTTCGAGTTGCGTTCTTTTCTTCCTTATAATGCATTATTCATACTGAATTGAGGGAAAGAGACACACCTCTCTCTCGGTCAGTGACGGATCATTTTTTTCTTCTTCTTCTGTAACGCCACCCCAAGCAACAGAGCGATACTACTCTCGATGACTGGTCATTCAGTTTTTTTTTAAATGCCACCCTATGGCATGGAGCAACACCGGTTTCTTGGATTGCCACCGATCCTTTTTTTAACGCTACCTCGAGGCACAGAGTAACACCACTCTCTCTGTCTGCAACCGACGCTTTTTTTTAACACCACCCTGTGGCACAGAGCAACACTGCTTTCTCGATCCGTGATAGCCTGCGTAGCAATCGTCTCACTGTGGTTTAGGAGCAAAGAACGAGGAACGAGAGTCAAACACTGTGCAAAAAAATGGTGCAAGCAAAAGAGTGGGGAGGGGACACCCCGTGGCACAGAGCGACACACCATGACCGATGTTATCAATTTTTTCCTAATGCCACCGCGTGGCACTGTGGACAAAGACAAAAGCTGATCTTCTGCCCTGGCTATCAGAATACCTTTTTCGACTATGAAGACTAAAGCTCTCCTCAAAAATCTATAAAACGCATCTTGTTTTCTCATGCTTCAGTACAGAAACGCGCTGACTTCTTCCTCACAGGCACCTCTTTCCAAAACTTAGCACTTCCTAACCCCCTTAGCAAGAAGTTCACAACAATTTCCAAGAGGACGTGTTTAGACACAGAACTGACAATAGTACAATATGGGCTAGTAAATTAAAGAACAGCTTTTGAAATTCACGTTTTATGTGCATGCATTTTTGTCTTTCACCATATTAGGGTATACTGGAAGGACAAGGGTTAATGCAAGGCAGAAACGAGGTTCCAGGAAAAATCAACTCTTTTATTTTTCACTGACAAAGATCTTATGGATTGTGAGACAGAGGAAGAATTTCAAGTGCAGTTGGAACCGCTTAAGGACGTCTAGATTGAACAAGAAAAAGCCTATCTGCCTGCTGGGAAGCAGCCATCATATCACCAGTATATCTCGGAAAAGGTGACAGGTGTTTATGTACTTATCTTTTTTTCAATGTAAAGACTGGCATGCTTCATTCTCTATAAGATACATCATACATTTAATTTATGTTGTTTGTGTTCCATGAAAACTATTACTTGCAAATTTGGGTTTATGTAGGCAACAATAATAGAACTAAATTTATATAACAAAACTTAAATGCCCCCTCTTTANACACACCATGACCGATGTTATCAATTTTTTCCTAATGCCACCGCGTGGCACTGTGGACAAAGACAAAAGCTGATCTTCTGCCCTGGCTATCAGAATACCTTTTTCGACTATGAAGACTAAAGCTCTCCTCAAAAATCTATAAAACGCATCTTGTTTTCTCATGCTTCAGTACAGAAACGCGCTGACTTCTTCCTCACAGGCACCTCTTTCCAAAACTTAGCACTTCCTAACCCCCTTAGCAAGAAGTTCACAACAATTTCCAAGAGGACGTGTTTAGACACAGAATTGACAATAGTACAATATGGGCTAGTAAATTAAACAACAGCTTTTGAAATTCACGTTTTATGTGCATGCATTTTTGTCTTTCACCATATTAGGGTATACTGGAAGGACAAGGGTTAATGCAAGGCAGAAACGAGGTTCCAGGAAAAATCAACTCTTTTATTTTTCACTGACAAAGATCTTATGGATTGTGAGACAGAGGAAGAATTTCAAGTGCAGTTGGAACCGCTTAAGGACGTCTAGATTGAACAAGAAAAAGCCTATCTGCCTGCTGGGAAGCAGCCATCATATCACCAGTATATCTCGGAAAAGGTGACAGGTGTTTATGTACTTATCTTTTTTTCAATGTAAAGACTGGCATGCTTCATTCTCTATAAGATACATCATACATTTAATTTATGTTGTTTGTGTTCCATGAAAACTATTACTTGCAAATTTGGGTTTATGTAGGCAACAATAATAGAACTAAATTTATATAACAAAACTTAAATGCCCCCTCTTTAATTAAAGATAACCAAAAAGAAACCTATTACAACAATAATGTAGTGTACTAACAGCAGTGCACGGAACTGTCTTGACCAGTTCTCATAATCCTGGTAAGACTAGTACTGCTGGAAAGATATACATGAGAAACAGCAAAAATCGTGGACCAGTTTTTAACAGGAGTTAAAAGCCAACATCAATGT